CCGAAGCGACATGTGCAAACAAATGGACGTGTTGAACGTGCGCGTCGCGGCCTAGCAGTGAAATACCCATAAATTTAAAATCGTGCGCTCATCGGACGTCACTACTCATCCCGAACGCCTCCGCGCGCACACTCCACCGGGATGGGTCACCGCCCTGCGCTATAATATGTTGATTTATTGTGATAAACGCCGAATTTAATCCGGAAAGTTTAAGTTTTAAACGGACGCACACGCTAGTGCGTGTGTTCAGCGGGGGTTAATTCAACTTTATAATTTGCAAATTTGTCATCTTTCGTGCGCGGGGGCGAGACCTAGCTCAGCCGCACCGGCTCGCGTGACAGTTATCTGTGAATATTTACGCTCGGCTATCCTATATTACAAATTGACCGGAGGGATGCAACCCCATAACAAGAGGTCATTAATAATCAAGAATGCTAAACGGCATAAAGTTATTCGGGTCGGGAACAAGTTTTGACTTACTCTCTATTGTCTATTGTATGTGGAAGTGCAGTGCGTTAGTCGGCATTACTCGTCAGCGGGATTAAAGTGGGGGTCACTGGCAAATTACAAACAACATTTTCGAATTTCCAAACTCTAATTAGTTTTTCGACGTTTATTATGATGCCGTTTAGTTTGGATCCGAATGCGAGTACAATAGCGTGCAGGGCGCACCACATTTGTATTGTTGATGTAATCGCATTCATTGACCACACATGTAAACTTTTCCAATTAATATCTATAATAATCATTGTTTACTAATCTCAAATAATAGTCTGAATACAACTATTTGTTAAACTAGTTTTGTGCATTTAAATTTAAAAAAATTTCAACATAAAATTTTTCAGATTAGTTCTTGTAATCGATATATTAATTAAAATTTTTATTAAAATTGCCATGCATATGGATTTCCCGCAGCTATTAGCCTTTATAACCGATCCAATTTCTTTATAGTTTTATCCTTTAACAGGGTCATTCTTTTCCGTTTTATTCCGCGCTTTATTTGCCCCCCATTATTTTATGCGTTATGCGCAACACACCCAGACGCCCCACACGCTCCAGCGATTATCCTTTTTGTCATTTTCTTTGCCTTAAACCTGCTCCTTTTTCAAACACTTCCGAACATAACGTAACATAACGCAAAGGTATAATATACGTAATGGACGGTCATAAAACGCATAAAACATTGGATCGCATAAAACTGGCGCTATACCTGTGTGTGTGTGTGTGTGTGTGCGATTTTCCATATTGATTTATTATTCGTACATATTTTAAGCACGAGAAAACGCTGCGAGTGTGTAGAGGAACAGCGCCTGAAATGTGCGGCATTATCCTTGCACAGTTCCGTGTTCGCTGCGTGTCAATTTAGTGTGTTTCTATTATGAAGCGGGTGTGGTGGTGGGGTTTTAATGGCACTGCGGGCGGGATGAAGCGGAATAAACCTGTAATTTTTATAATCGCGCAGGTTTTCGTTGTTTGCGAATCTATAATGCATCTATTGTGTGAACAAGGAGCGACTGCGGAATTACACGGCCGACCGAAACCCCTTTTCGGTTCACTGAAGGATTAAAACCTACGCCGCATTAAAAATAATGATTACATGCCGTCGTTCTTTTTTTATATGTTTACTGCGCGCGCGCTATATTTATTATCGAAATTAAATTTTATAGTTTATTGCGCTGAAAATTTTGTTTCGTCGTTTGGCGTCGAAAAAGTTGATTGAACAATATTTTTTCACTCACTGCTATCAAATTGCCATCTTATAATATTTAATATTATTGTAAAACTTGTTTTTATGATAACATTATGCTAGCACCTCGTAAAAGCTCGTTATATGCACATCGCACACGAATTTGATTAAACGCTTTTCGTAATAAACAAAGTACTTGAGCGTAATTTTCACGACGCAGTTGAGATGAAACCGTTGGAAAACGATAAAGAGTGATCGTAATCATCAGCACATGATGAGTAAGATACTGCCTAATAGTATGCACGTGTTTGCATTCGACCTGAGATGTTCATTTTTCGGTCGCGATGTTTGCATCGAAAACGTTTAATTGCATAATTTATGTGCTTGAGGGCCATCATCGCGTACACGGGTGCGAAGCGTAATTAAATTAGTTGTAACCGATGTGAGGTGGGTGGTTTCGGGAGGAAAGAAGGCGAGACGCGTTCACAGATAAATTACGGTTTTAATTACACACGATGGGAACTCAAAGGCACACTCTGGCGCGCTTGTAAATAATAAAGTATATATGCGCCGCGTAAAGTTGCAATAATGCATGATTACGGCGAACGGAATTACAACTTTCGATTCAAACACACAGCTGGTGTAGTTTACTACATGTTCCTGCTAACAAAAAATAGTTAATAATCATTCAGAATTTCATTGAATTTCATAATTACAATATTCGATTACTAAATTCACATAGGTATTTGAAAAATTGAAATTTGAAAATTGTTGAGGTTGCATGCATCATTATAGAAAATATTCTCAAATATGACGATGGAGAAGGTAGATAACTCATTTTATTTTATTATTTTGTTACTAAGTATTACTTTAAAAAATTGGTACAAAAGAATTGTGGCATGAAACAAAGCACTTTTTACTTTCAAAAGCGTCGTGACAATTTCAAGTTCAAGTCAAGTTTACATTTTTTTGTCAGCGATATCATTTGTATTGATTTTAATAAAAAGTAGCTTAATTAATTACTTTCTTAATTCTACATGTCACTAGCTTTTGCCTGCGACTTTGTTCCGGTAGTATTTAATAAAAATGTAATTCGTTTTTATTCTTTTGTTCTAGACATAGTATGTGTCAATTCCATCAATAAGATTTGCAATTTTGTTTTAAAGAAATTAATTATATAAAGAATTGCTAATAATGCACTTCAGCGCGCCATCTCGGATTCAACTATTTAACTAGAACTATGATTGAATCTCAATGCCAACTTTTATCCTATAGAAAAGGGCTGTCTTTAGGGTTTTCCCGGCAATTATTCGAGTTTTTCTTGCCGTAAAAACCATTCTTGGACTTTAACAAACATTTTAAAAAAAGAATTGGCCAAATTGGTCTAGGCGTTATTGAGTTATGCGCTTACCAACAGATTTTGCGATTAATTTTTATATTATAAATATACCGATTCTCACAAAAATTTTGATTATTACTTCAAACAAATGAAAAATGCTAAAAATGCATCCCTAGAGCCATCTTATATTATGTAACTATAACTACGATTGAAATTCGAAACGTTCTTCCTTAATTTGCTTTGACCAATGGTCGCCCCCTATGCATTTATTATTAAAACGCTTACTAATTTATAACCTCACAAATAATCACCTGCTTTACGTGCACGTCAATAAACGATTACTTATAGGTTATACAGCTCTTATATCATACAGGTGGCGCTGTAATCGTGACATCACGAAACGTTTATACTGTTATAGTCACATCACGCTAGGAATGCACGTCGTGCATGATCCAATTGCACATAAAAGCTCGATAGAAAATGATTAATACTATCGTTATCGTTTTTATCGCTCACTGGCTTTCATGTTTAAAGCAAACATAATCTCGTGTCTTAATATTGTAATCTTTAACTTTTAAATGTTTATAGTGTATAATATGCGCGTCGCGTTCGTGCAAGCAACAAAAAAAGCTTGATAAAGAGGCAATAAATGTGCCCTTTGCGTTTTATTACGTGGACATTAAAACATCCAACGAGTGTGCATCGTTTACGGGCCTTCGATACGCAAACGACTGCATTGTGAAATTGCGTTATAAATTATTTCTCCGCTCAAATTCGAAATAATCAGTACACACTCATCAACTTTAGAATAATAAACTGAAAATGTACATAACAACGAAAACAATTATTATCGTACGCTGCGTGGTTAATTATCCATGGGCAAGCCTCATCTATAAATTCATTTCCAGGGCGTATGCTCGCTTTTTAAATCGTTTTCTTCCTTGCGTTGCTGTTTTTGGTACAATTGGCCAGCGTCCCTGCATTGGGTGCTTATAGAAAAACTGCTAATTACTTGGCGCAAGTCGAGCGAACTTTTCGTCCTTCCGCGACGCTCGTCGTCGCCTCGCAAAAATTGCTTTCGTCGTTAAAATCCCTACACATACCCACATCGTTGTCTCTTTGTGTTTCTCATCGGGTCTGGGTGATTTTTTCTCCTTTTTTGCGTGGTTGCTCGCTGGGTTGTCGTCTGGCGCACCGAGGAACCTTTGTCAGGCGCGCCGCCGACGAAGGGCGGCCGCAAATTTATTATTATTACACGCGAAGACGCAAACGACGCGCTTCGCAGACAATTTGCTCGCGGTTTCTTGCTCTTTTGCGCAAGGTGTCCTTCTTTTTCCCACGCGCTACTTGTTAAGTAGTTGTTGAATATTCATTGACACACAAAAAAAGAACAACCAGGCGAAGCGAAATTCGTTACTTAAAAATTACGTGCGAAAAAATATCGATTAAGTTTATTTTAATTTATATTTTCCTAGAGTTTCTTAAATCAGATCTTTTATAATTGTAATAGCTTTTGCCCGCGATTTCGTCCCGGTAGTGTTTAATAAAAATGTAATTCGTTTTTACTCCCTTGTTCTAGACACAGTATGTGTCAATTCTATCAATAAGATTCGCAATTTTATTTTAAAGAAATTAATTATATAAAGAATTGCTAATAATGCACTCCAGCGCGCCATCTCGGATTCAACTATTTAACTATAACTATGATTTAATCTCAATGCCAACTTTTATCCTATAGAAAATGGCTGTCTTTAGGGTTTTCCCGGCAATTAATCGAATTTTTCTCACCGTAAAGACCGTCCTTGGACTTTAACGAGCATTTTAAAAAAAGAATTGGCCAAATTGGTCTATGCGTTGTCGAGTTATGCGCTTACGAACATATTTTGCGATTTAATTTTATATTATAGAAGATTATTTTTAATAAATAACCAACAAAATGTATTGTGTTTAATTTTTTGTTATCTTTAATTACAGAACGGTGGAGCAAAAGACGGATTAGACATGAACCTTGGTCCTGCATGGCAAAAGGGCTACACTGGAAAAGGCGTGGTCGTCTCCATCCTCGACGATGGCATCCAAACCAATCATCCAGATTTGTCGCAAAATTACGTAAGGATTTATTTGCAAATATATTAGATTTATTTAATTCAAGGTTTGCTAATGCATGCAAACCTCCGCTTTTATAATCACAGTATAGTGAGCTCCCCGGGGGCGGGGCTCAGCCACCAGTGTCTAATTTTGCATTTTCTTCCCTTTTTGCGTCGGAAAAAATTTAAAACATGTTTGCAAAAATCTCCGTAAAATTTATTACGACCTTTTCGCTCCTCCCTGGCTGCTGCTCTTCGTTCTCTCGCTGGACTTGTGTTTGTACACGCACTGCATGAGATCCATCTACTGTTTAAAAGTGTGTATCTGTAGGTGTATGAGTGTGTGTATGTGTGTTCGCGAATTGTGAATAATGTAAGCGAAAAACGTAATTTATTTCCCTCATCGGACCTTTTCCGCGACGCGGGCCCCGCACGGCTAACGGCCTAATGGATTAACTAAAGCACTTAGTTACAATAAAGTTGCGCCCTCGGGCAACGCGCGTTCACCCGATGTCCGTCTCTCCACCCCGCTTCGATTAGGCGCCATTTGCTTCGTCGGCTTGGTTTGATCGCCACCTTATTCTCGAACGCGTCTTTTTCTTTTATTTTTTTAAGATTATTTCTTGCGTGTGTCTGGATTTGATGTATTTTGATGTATTTAACCTTGAGAATATCTCCAAGGTCAAGCATATTTCAGCAAATAAATGTAATGAGCAAGTATTGTTGGTAGCAACATAAAATGTTTTGGATTGCGCTGGCGCGCTAGGTTTGCGTGCCGATCGCCGCATCAATCTATTCAGCCCAGCAGCTATTATCCTTTGTTTCCTTTTGTTGTGCTTTCTTCGTTTGCTTGCCTGCCTATTAACGCTTCATCACGCAAATCTTTCTATTTCGTGCATCCATCGTAAAAGAAAGCTAATTAAAGGGCCATTTCAAGCAAAACACCTTTCGCGTGCAAGGCTAATTAAGGACGATCGAATGACATTTAACTAATACTCAAGAGCCAATCTAAGTCTTTATTGCTTAACTTGTATTGCGTCCATTGGTGATATTATATTGTTATTAAAGATTGGCATTGTGCGCGAGAAATGAAATTTTCGTTTAATTTTTCAATTGTGTGAGTGTGTATTTGTGTTTTGTTCTCGCAGGACCCGCTGGCGAGCACGGACATCAACGGCAACGACGACGACCCGATGCCGCAGGACAACGGTGACAATAAGCACGGCACCAGATGTGCCGGCGAGGTTGCCGCCGTCGCGTTCAACCAGTATTGTGGTATCGGCGTGGCGTACAACGCCAGCATTGGCGGTGAGTGTTTTTTTCTTCTTATTTCTTCTATTGGTCAATGTGTTTTTATTGTTGGAAAAAAATTTCTTGGAAAAGCAGTTTAAGTTGTTCAATAGAGAGATGACCCAGATTCTAAGAGTATAACGTTTTCTTTGTTATTAATTAAATTATTTTATCTAAAGTGACGTTTATTGACTTGATATTAAATAACTACTTTTAAAAAAGCATTTTAGATATGTCCTTCAGTAAAATATTGAAAATATTATCAATAAATGCAACTCTTATCGGTGTGTTTCCGTAGAAGTTTGCAAATAAGAAGTATATTATCAAAAATGCGTTAAACGTTTTTCCGCAACGTTACCTTAGTATTGCGCATCGGAAATGCGAACACGGAATGCGAAACGAGAAGGAGGATACCGCGCATCGCCTGATACCGCGTCTTTAACAACGGAAAAACGGAAATCGGAAAAGCTTCCGTTGCCTTCTTCTTCCAGGGCGACGCATTTTTAATGCGTTTGCTCGTTCGTTGATAACACTGACGTTTCTTTCGTTTCGTTTCGTTTCTGGCGCGTAGATAAATAAATTACGGAATATCTCGGTGGCGTCCCACGGGTACAACGGTACAGCGGACATATTTTATTATAAATACGCAATTAAGACCGGCAAACAAGCGAAAGATAAAGAGAAAAGTGCGGCAAGTTTTTATAATACTTTTTTTCCTTTTTCGACGCTTTTTCTCCTTCTTCATTCACTGCTTCTACAAAAATAAGATTTGAGGCAGACACGAGGCACGAGATATAAATGAAAAATGGCGTTTGACAAGCCCGAAAACAGTTGCAAGCGGCACGTACGAACACTGCAGAGAGTAAACTTGCTTTCCGTGGAGGGAAATTTTCGTTTGTTATTTATATCCTTGAAGGAGCGCGAAACCGAACGCCTCGTCTAGTTTCGGGTGCATCTGCATATATCTTGTTTGCTCGTTGGCTCGTTGCTTGTAAAATGCAACACGACGAGTAGTTGCAGGCGAGTCGAAGCGGGCGCCAACGGGTGGGTGGTGGCAGTGGTGGCTGCTCTGCAATCGGAAACTTTTAGACAACGCTTTAGATTTTAGTTTTAGAGTTTTCGGGTTTGATTTGCCACGCCGCGTAGAGTTCGAGTGCAACTTTTCACTGTTTGCAATCTCGCATCCCTCAATTCGTATTCCGAGATGCAGAATTGTGTTCAATTTATTTGTTTGGAGCTGGAATTTGATTTTTTTTTTTTGAAGCGTGTATATGTCAAATTTGACGAATTGTCATTTTACCTATGCAACAATCGAATTGAGACGGCATTGAGAATTGTTCGCAATTGAATATTTTATTTGAGTTTTTCGCATTTTTGATGTGAAATTTGTATTTGAAATTTTTCATATTTACCGTATCGACTGTAACAATTCTCAGATAGATGTCGAACAATTCGAAACGGTCGCACAACATGCATGTTTGTCCTCCTTTCGCCTGCCGCTTCCGTTTCGCGGCGGCGACGGCGTTGTCCTGATTTGGTTTGGGAGACGCGGAGGTTATAAATTCAAATTTTCTCCTCTCGCAGCGCGAGTGAAATAGTGAAATAGCGAAATGTGGCCCACGGAGGGACGCCGCGGCGGCGGCAATGGCGGTGGCGGCGGGTGCGGCGCGCGGGAAGGGAAACAAACACGTTCGAGAGTTGAGAAACGAGTAGGACAAACTAGTAAACGTTGCCGGCGTATAATATGTGGACGCAAACTGCGGAGGCGGACGCGCGACGGCGGCGGCAAGCGGGAAAACTTTCTGGACGACTTCCTCCATTATAATGCGCCAGGTTTCGCCTAGATTTCCTTCTCTCGGCGCGCGCGCGCGTATATAGTTTGTACAACTCGCCATGCTAGTTGGTATGCATGCGTCCGCTAAATTTATCGCCAACGATACAGCGCCGCGCGGGACGCCACAATATAAACCGCCCCCCAAACCCGCCTCCCGGACACTCGCCTGCAATAACTTGTTAAAACTATTGCAAATTATCCGGTGCGCTATTTTTCGAAATTTATATCTATGATTTTACGATTTTTTCTCGCTCGAATTGGCGAAAAATTTAAATCAAAATGATTTTTATAGGCCTTGAAATTTCCTTCCTCGTCTTAAATAAATCGCCCTTAACTTTGGTCTAAATCTGTCTAAACCCGCCGCTCGTCTCAATAAAAGCGAGGGGCGAACGAAACAGAAGAGAATCGAGCGAAACGAATGAATACGCGATTTGCTTCCAATCGTAATATCGTAAGTAAAACTAAGTGACTCGCGATCGTAAAATATCCTATCATTCGCAAAATGTCGTCGTCGTCCTCGTTCCCTAATTTGAAATTATAAACAGTTTCTTTTCTTTGTCGAAAACAAACACGAAATGCGAAATAACTTATTTTACGTAGTCGAAACGATAAGAAATTTTGGTAGTAAATACTTCCGCTATGAAAACAGCGCGTTTAAGGATGACCTGCAGTCCTAGAAAACTCAACCTAAGAAAACTTTAATAAATTGCACGGTTCTGTAATTGTTCGTTTGCTAGCAAAACACGGACGTTTGTTTGCATTTTATACGATTCATTCTACGCTCCCGCAGCGCAGAATAAAATTGTAATCACAAATTTTCTATTTTCCAACAATTACTATGTGTTGGTAACAACTCAACCTGTTCAGTGTGCCTCGCTTGCACAAACAAACCAAGGTTTGTATTTTCCTAGCATTTGAATAGCAATTTTACACGCGGGCGACAGGCGAGTCACGCGATTCGACATTTTCTCCTTATTTACATCTCCCCGGCGTAGGTTATTACCATATTTTCGTTGTTAATGAAGCCAGCAGGGTCTGAAATAATCTGTGTTCTTTGCTCTGTGTGCAGGTGTGCGGATGTTGGACGGCGTGGTAAACGACGCGGTGGAAGCGAAAGCACTCGGTCTCAACCCTGAGCACATTGATATTTATTCAGCCTCGTGGGGGCCCGAAGACGACGGCAAAACTGTCGACGGGCCTGGGCCGCTTGCGCGTCGCGCCTTCATTTACGGCGTGACGAGTGGCCGTAAAGGCAAAGGGTCTATTTTCGTGTGGGCCTCTGGGAACGGCGGTCGGCACACCGACTCGTGCAACTGCGACGGCTACACCAACAGCATCTTCACACTAAGCATATCGAGTGCCACTCAGGGCGGGTACAAGCCGTGGTATTTGGAGGAGTGCTCTTCCACCTTAGCGACAACGTACTCGTCGGGCACGCCGGGTCATGACAAAAGTGTGGCCACCGTCGACATGGACGCCCGTCTGAGACCTGATCATATCTGCACCGTTGAGCACACGGGCACATCAGCATCAGCTCCTTTAGCGGCTGGTATCTGCGCATTGGCTCTCGAAGCCAACAAACATCTCACGTGGAGAGACATGCAATACTTGGTGGTTCTCACCTCGCGCGCTGATCCTTTGGAAAAGGAGAGCGGATGGACCCTCAATGGGGTCAAGAGGAAGTTTTCACACAAGTTTGGCTATGGTCTTATGGACGCTGGTTCTCTTGTATCTTTAGCAGAGAAATGGATTACTGTTCCGCCGCAACACATTTGCAAGTCGCAGGAGTTTGTCGATGATCGACAGATTGATTCAACGTTCAAGTTTACTCTCACCCAGCATATGGACGTAAATGCCTGTGCGAATACGCTAAATGAAGTTCGCTTCTTAGAGCATGTTCAATGTAAGATTTCACTTCGATTCTACCCGCGTGGCAATCTGCGAATTTTGTTGACTTCTCCAATGGGTACCACTTCAACGCTATTATTCGAACGTCCACGCGACGTTGTGAACGCTAACTTTGACGACTGGCCGTTCTTGAGTGTTCACTTCTGGGGCGAGAAAGCCGAGGGTAGATGGACCTTACAAATCATCAATGCTGGTAATCGTCATGTGAATCAACCTGGCGTACTTAAAAAGTGGCAATTGATCTTTTACGGTACTGAAAACAATCCTATTCAACTGCGGAGTAGTAATGCTCCGTCAGTTTCATGGCGATCTCCACAAAATACATTCACGTTCCCAACTGAAGCAGATTCTGTAACCGCTGATCCTTCAGTAACAGACAATTTCTTTAGTCCGGACATTTTCAAAGGGTTTAATAATTACCACAATCTCTACACATTTGCTGGATCTGATCCTCAACAGGCAATTAGTTCATTAGATGGAAAGAAAACTATCATACGTGATGATAACCGGATTGATACCGAGGAAGAGACTAAAGAGAATTGTGATGAACAATGTGATGATCAGGGATGTTTTGGAAAGGGTCCAAACAAGTGCATTGCGTGTAGAAATAAACGAATGGATAAGTAAGTTATTTTTAAAAAGATTATTTTGTATGAGGTATTAATTTAATGTTTGGTTTAGAACTTGTGTGAGTTCCTGCCCACCAAGGAGTTATGCGGACGCGCAAGGGATGTGTCAACCTTGTCACGATTCCTGCGACACCTGCACCGGTGCCGGGCCCAACAACTGCATGACCTGTTCACCAGGCCACGTGCGCGTCGTAGATCTAGACATTTGCATGCAACAGTGTCCTGAAGGATACTTTGAAGGTGATTAACTAATTGCACTGACATCAATAGCTTGTAACTACGTAATGTTTGATAGATTTCGCCGATAAGACGTGCACACCGTGCCAACCAAACTGCGCCAGTTGTCAGGATAGACCAGACCATTGCACCAGTTGTGACCATCATCTTCTGCTTTATCATAACAAATGTTTAGCATCGTGTCTATCAAACACTTATGAAACTGATGATTACTCGTAAGTTTTTTAACAACATTGTTTGTGAGTGCCGTGTATTTGATTCTGCGTTGTGTTTGTAGGTGTTTGCCCTGCCACGAATCTTGCGACACCTGCTCGGGTTCCAATAGCTCACAGTGCATATCCTGCACAGCGGGTCATTACTGGAACGAAGGACGCTGCGTTCACGAGTGCCCCGCACATCACTACGCCGACGGCAGGTATCGCGAGTGCATTGAGTGTCCCCCGGGCTGTTCCGAGTGCAATCAAACGACGTGCATTTCCTGCCTGGATGATTGGCACGTCAACAGCAAGGGACGGTGTGTGCCACACGGCAGCGATCATTGCGACACAGGTATAGTTGACACGGTGGATATGCATAATCCCAACTGTATAAAACACAAATATTTTCTCTGTCGTTTTTTGCAATATTGTTCTTTACGCTTTGCATTGTCTTTCGTCTCGGTGTCGAACAGATCAATACCCCGACGGCATCCTGTGCAAACAGTGTCATTCGACATGCGGCACCTGCGACGGCCCGACGGAGCACGCCTGCCTTTCATGCGCTCATCCGCTCATCCTGCAGGATTCGCGCTGCGTCGCCGAATGCAACAAAGGACGATTTCCGGACAAAAGCAACAAAATGTGCAATCCGTGCATTCACACGTGCAGTGAATGTTCGGCCAAGTCCAACTGCACGAAATGTGTGAGCGGGCTGCAGGTGCGATGACGAATGAAATCAATTTTTGCCAGCTCGTTACGATTGTGTGTCAATTTTAGTTGCAAAGCGGGGAGTGTCGATCCACCTGTGCTACTAGTTTCTACAGCGATCGCGGCGTGTGCGCCAGGTGCCACATGAGTTGCGATACCTGCAGTGGACCAGGTCACGATCAGTGCGTGACATGTCCGCCGCAATGGCAATTTGCTGCCGGCGAATGTCGCCCAGATTGCCCCGAGGGCTTCTACAAGACGGACTATGGTTGCCAGAAGTGCCACTATTCATGTAGGAATTGTCCAGGTAAAATAATCAGTGTAAAACACACTTGACACGATATGAAAAATGTTTTTGCGTTGCAGGGTGCAAAAATTTGGCAGACAAACGGCGTATTAATGTGGAAGCTTATCTGGTCGCCCCTCAACCGGTGCCAACAGTGCAGTTTGTGAATCCGTTCAACTTTATTACTGCTTTGGCCATAGTGGCTTGCTTGTGTATCATCATCTTGTTCTCAACGATATTTATAATTTTGCAAGTGAGTATCAATCAAAGGAACCAGCTTGTTTCAATATTAAAATTTATAATTTTTAGAAAAATAGCGTGCATTCAGGTCAAGGCCTCTATAGTAGAGTGTCTATCAAGAAGCCGAAGGTAACTTGCAACTACAATGTGGTGGTAAGTGACGGGGACTCAACTGATGATGACACCGACAGCACCGAAGAGCGCAAGCTCATCCACAAGGCAGACGCGGAGCGTCCATCATGTTAGTAGCCTAAATTAACGACTAAACACTAATTTGTATATCGAAGTATAAGATTAAGTAATGTAAAAACAAACAAAACTATTTGGGCAAGCAGATGGCGTAGCTGAATGGTAATGTAAATATGGCGTACAATGTGAGCATCCCAGAGGCGTTTATCTCAGCCACCACCCACAACGATGACCTACAAATCCCGAACATCCCCCTAAACTGTCAAACCCACTTACTGTCTTGTCTGTCTGTCTGTCTTCACTGTATCGTAAGAGCGTCGAGCGAGTACGGAAGAAGCGCAACGACTGCACGGATCAAAAAAAGAATGTCATAACAAGGAAAGTACACGTAACTATATTTAGTCCCGGATAAATTTAAACAAATAAGTAAATACACATAAAATACCTAAATAAAGCAAAACCCTAACTGAAAACCAACGCTATGTAATGTAAATAATGATATCGCATATACTTGTACTCACTTATCAAATTGAACAAAAAATGAAACAAACGAAACTGCAACAGAGAACAAAAGTACGATAACATAAATGATTACCAATTGTACCAAAATAACTCCTATGTGTTGTTACTTTGTATAAATGATATTATATGAACGCGCGAGTGCGATACGAGTGTGTGGCATGGGCTCAATGTAAAAATTAAGCGGAAAAATATGGAAAAAATATTTAAATTTAAGAAAGGGAAACTTAAGTGCTCTTGATATTTCATGTCGTAAATACATATATAGTTATTTTTAAATGTACACTTTGTATATAATCGGTAATAGATAATTGATTGTTTCAATGTTATTTAAGAAATTTTACCGTTTATAAATCCAGTGATGATCAATATCCGTAGTTTCATTGCTAAACATTTCCATTCTTTCCTTAAAGCTATAGAATTAAATTCAGAAGCGCATTTTAAAATAGCTTTTGCTGTGCGCACAGTTTGAAAATATAACAAGGAACATTTCGCACCCTATAGTCAGAAACGGTAACTAAAACATTTCATTTGACAATTAACGCTGTCATGCACATTGAAGGTTAAGCCGGAGCGCGTCTCTGCGGTTTGTGTTCGCCTTAATGCGTTTGTTGGTTCAACAAATCGTTAATTGTCAGCTCTAATCTGTGGAAAATACGTGTGGTGCCACGGATATTAATATTTTAGTGATCGTAGCTTAATTACCGAAGTATATTCTTCATGTAATAGCTTGTAATCGTTTGTTGGTTACAATGGAAGAAGAACCAACGCGAGCCCGTTGCTTCTTTGATATTTCAATTGGTGGTCTGCAATCAGGTCGTATAGTCTTTGAACTATTTAATGATGTGGTGCCGAAAACGTGTGAAAACTTCCGTTCCCTATGCACTGCTGAGAAAGGCATTGGTGAGACAACTCAGAAACCATTGAATTACAATGTAAGTAATTGTATGCACCTAATCACAAACTATGATATTGATGAATGAATGAGTTCTTAGGGTGTTATTTTTCATCGAGTCGTGAAGGATTTTATTATACAAGGTGGTGACTTTTCTAATGGTAATGGAACTGGTGGTGAAAGCATCTATGGAGGAACATTTGAAGGTAAATTTTTATCATTTTTTACTAAAGTCAATTAACATCTTTATGCTTATTTTAAGATGAAAATTTTACACTCAAGCATGATAAGCCATTGCTTCTTTCAATGGCAAACAGGGGTAAAGATACAAATGGTTCCCAGTTTTTTATGTGAGTATATGTATCACAACACAAATTTTGAACAATTCTGACAGACATTGCTTAATTGATATCATTAGGATCTCTAGACTAGTGCAAGTTTCAGAACTGTGTGCGTTTTGTTGTTTTGTATAGCAGTGCAAGCAACAGATCCCCCAGCTACTAGACTCACTCTCAAACTCATCACCTGATGAGCTGATCATATCTATGTTCATATTTTGTGTTATAGTACGACACAACCGGCCCCGCATCTCGACAAGTAAGTTATATATTCCTATATTTTTTAAAGAATATTTACTAATTGGAAATTTTTGATTGCAGTGTTCACGTGGTATTTGGACAAGTAGTAAGTGGCGTGGATGTAGTGCGGCAGATCGAAAACCTTCCAGTGGATGCGAACAGTCGACCTTTACAGGACACGAAGATCACACGATGTGGAGAGCTTGTTAAACAATCGAAAGGTATATAATTTCACGTCATTTGTGTTAGTGTTCTATTGCATATTTTTTAATTGCAGTCAAGAAGGAGAAGAAAAAGAAGAAATCTAAGAGCGATGAAGAAAACGAAAGTGAGGACAGTGAGGCTGGTAAGGAGCGAGAGAAGAAAAAGAAAAAGGATAAGAAGAAAGATAAAAAAGAGAAAAAGCATAAGAAAAGGTAATTTCTTACTTACATTGCTAATTTTATTTTGTTATAAATTTGATTTGATAGCAAAAAGTCCGACGATGGCACCGAAGAGGAAGGTGAAGTAAAAGAGGATGAATTACACCCATTGGTGTCTGTAACAAATATTAACCCTGAAGACATCCCTGATGTTCCTACGAACAAGTTTTTAATGCGTGGCGATCGTAAAAATAATGGTAATTGATTTAAATTTATACTGGCGCGAATTAACTCTAGAGTATTTAATTTTAGATGATAGGGATGGTCGTAAATCTTACAAGAAAAGAGACAACCGGGAGAATTCAAATTACAAACGACGTCGACCAATGCTGACAAAGAGTGGACGAGTAATTAAAGGACGTGGTGTTTTTGTAAGTTTTATTCTTAGTGCTATTTGTTTTTATTTAAAAAAAATAATTATTTAGAGATTTCGAACGCCATCAAGAAGTCGCTCGCGCAGTGTAACACCAGTACATTGGAAGAAGGAAGAGGCACGAGTCATTAAACTTTCCGAGTATGAAAAGAAAGAAGCTTTTAAGAAGCATCAAGACATCCCTGACCGCCATTCAACTTCGCGTTCAAGGCGGTCTCGTTCACATTCTCACATATCGAGTGATCGCGATCATAATACGAGCAATAGTCGTCCTGACCCCGATTCTAAAGATATTGATTACAACGCCTTGGACTATGAAGACAATGCTTCGGAAGATGATGATCACGTCTTGAAGAAGCAAGTGCCTAGCTTAGTACAGTACCCTCTTCCCAGCGCCGTCAAAGCTTCAGAAGAAGCTAACAAGTTAAATGAACCTGATGACACAGAATCTGCCGATTTGCAGAATAAAGATGGCGATGAGAATTTGCTTTCTAACAAGCGTTCGGAAGCGTTGGCAATGGCGCTTGGTGTGCAGATCAAAACGGGCATTGATCCACCGACAGGTGAGATAAAAATGAGCGGATATCTTAAGTCGAATCCTGAGCCTCCCAACAAGAATTATGATATCAGTTCGAAGTTGATGAAAATGGCTGGTACTGATGTTGCTCCTGTAAAGAATGAAGACGCTCACAAACGGAAGAAGTTTGAGGTGGAGAAACCGATTGATAGAAGTGACAAACATCGAAACGGACGAAGGTTTGACCCACCAGCACGTCGCGGAGATCAGAATAGGGTGGGATTCAGAAACCGTCGAGATTCGTTTCGAGATAATCGCAATCGCCGAGGATCTCCACCAAGGTCACACAATCGCCGTCGTTCACATGACAGACAGCGCCGATCGAGAAGTAAAGATCGTCGCGACAGAAGGCGACGATCAAGGTGTCGATCTCATAATAAAAACGAACGGAAACGTTCGCGTGATCGCACTCCACGTAAGGCTTCACCAAAATCAACAAATGAAGATGATGACAAGCGCATAAAGGCTGAGCAGTTGCTATTGCTAAAAAAGAAAATGGAACTTGAAATTCTTGAGATAAAAAAGAGGAAGGATGAAGAGAAGATGGTTTGTTGCCTAGATGTTGTTTATTTGCATTTCCCTTATTAATTTTACTTTGAATTTAGGCGTTGGCAATTGAAAAACAGCGAAAAGTCAAAGAAGAAGCTGAAATGCTAGAGAAAGCGAAGAAAATTAAACGCGAAGCACTGGAAAAAGAAAAAATATTCCTCACAGTCAAGGCACTTCAGGTGTTAGATAAGAAGTCGACTCGCCAACAAAGACAGTCTCGCAGTTCAAGCTCTAGTTCATCGAGCAGCTATAGCAGCAGCTCCAGCGATCGATCGCGCAAGTATGTAGCATGTATTTTCTTTTTTTGTGATTCTAATTCAAGTTTGTTTAGTAGACGCACCAAGAGGGGTAGTAATTGGAGTTCATCTTCAAGGCGCCGCTCGCGTTCGAAGCGGAGAACTCGCAGCACGAGCAGCAGCGATTCGTCTAGGGATAGGTCACACGGCAGGCGAAAATCAGCCGCACGTTTGAGGCGCCGTTGAAACAGATAGCTATAAATTAATTCGACTTCAACAACTTTCGTTTGTTTTCATATTTTGCTCATTTGTGTTGTTTTATGATTATGACTTTGATTATATCTGTTTCTCAATAAATAGGACCCTTTCAATATGTTGTGTATTATAAACCGGACGTGGATCAGTTTGTATTGGATTTATGATTCATCAATTCAATTTCGTGTGGTCGAAATAAGCACAATCAATCGTGTCTTCTAAATCTTGTTTAGAATTCGCTGTGCAAAAAGATTTTAAGTTTGTATTACCCGAGGCATGCAATTCTGTGCTAACACAGCTCGCGGCTCAAGTGCATTATGCGCAGTTAGCTCGGATTTGACCTAATCGAGGTAGTTTCCGACAGAAAATAATATGAATTAACGAATATTTAGATGATTTTTATTAACTAAAATGATATAGGTATTTAATTTCAAGAGTAAATTACTAAAGAAGTAAAATTTGAATGTTTTTATGCTATTTTGTAGTTTTTGAAGAGATTTGATGCAATTTTAAAGAAAATATGTGATTTTATGACAATTGTGAAAGTTGCGATTTGTTTAAATAGGGTGGTGCATGCACAGTTGCGTGGACGTGTACACACGGACACTACCATTTAAGTGCGTGACCACTCACTGATTCATAGGCAATCGCTCACTGCCTCATATGCACGCAACACTTTTTGATACACTTTGTATTTTCTTGAGGTACTCAAAAGTAACCGCAGATGGCACAATAGTATTTACGATAAAATATTCCTGCGAGTGAAAGTCGGCGTGCCCATTTGTTGTGTAGCCGGCAAGCAACTCTTAACTCGTGCGATAAGTACTAATACTTAAAAGGAAATTTGTGTTTTGTGTTGTAAATTCGTTATACCGCGTTATATTTGATGGATTTTAGTGTTAATAGAAGGGTTTTAGTCGCTAAATATTTATCGCGATTACACTTCGGAATTCAATATTTTGTGTGTTTAATACAGTTTCGTTTGTATCTGGGATCCTTTACCGTCGGACGCCAGTCGGCCATGTTGTGTGATTGTAAATAATATTTTGGAGTTGTGCGAACCATTTTGGTCTTCAGCAGAACAGGACGGGCGGCTGTTCTACCAGGTAAATATTATTATTTAAATAATTAGGGCAAATAAGACAAGTTTGGGTTCCTCCGGAACTCGGGTTCATTTAAACTTTGTCCGAAATTGTATAACTAATGTTTTGTTTCTTGTTTATTTCAGTATCTACTCGTATTTGATTTACAGTGTTCGATACGGTGAGTGAAATTTTCGATATTTTACGATTTTCCTGCAATTAGAGAATGAATATCTTTAACTTCTTTTTGCGAAAATTTAGATGAAGCATTTCCCAGAAAATTGGAAAATAGAAATTCACACTTTTTTATTATTTTTTTTTTCAATTAAACGACGCTCTGAATACTTTTGACGTGATAACGTCTTTAAAATCGTCGGGTGACATGTTCAGAAACTGTGTCACGAGACCTCTCGAGGCCGATCGCAGGTATACCCCCCTCTCGTTATAACGAGAGAGAGACGGACCGATCTCCCGTCGCATCTCGAGCGCTGCCAGTCATTCCGTGAAATCCACACGAGCGGAGGCAGGCATAGCGTTCGAGTGAGTGGACCGATCTTCCGTCTCTCTCACTCTAGCGGCATACAAACGAATGGAGATTTTCTCGTGCGGTTAAGTTTTCGTTGAATGTTTAACAGTAAAACAAAATGTGAAGTGCAAGTGAAGTGTTACAACAATCTCGTGTTACAACAAGCCGAATCTCGCAGAGTTTCAGGGGTGCATTTTAAAAATGTGTGTTTTGAAAAACGCGAAAAACGGGCAAGCTTTGGCGTTTCCTTCGTTTTCTATATTACCCGCAATTAAAATAAACAAGGCACCCTTAATTCGCGAGCTATTGCAACATGCAGGTCATAAAGCATTTGACCAAATAAGATAACTTAATAAAAACTTACCAATGCAGTGCTCATTGGATTGCTCAGGCACAGCTAGTACTACAATTAAAAGAAAACATAAGTTAAAATAAAAACATTGCATACAATATAATATTATATTTATACATCAGAGAAAACAAACATTCGGTGCTGAGTAGCGAAAGTCATATATAAGTTTCTTACTCAAGTACGAAGCATCATGGCAACAATATACATTTCGAATTTAAACATCAAACGTAAACATAAAAAAATATGGATAATAAACGCACAAATTAATCATTAACAATACACTGCAGATGCATGTTACTACTATATAGTCAATTGTTGACCGAATACAATGCAAATTTAGAAAATAAGAGTCCGATAAAACGATATGAATCGCGCGAGGGGATGGCAACGACGACACACGGCCATTCGATTAGAAAGGGTAAATTGTGTTAAAAATAAACACAATTCTCGTATCGAATGCCAACGTTTGCTGATAAATATAGAAATAAAGAATACAATTCTATTTTATGATTTTTCGTTCAGGCAAGTGCCATCTATGAATGCTACAGATAGTAGTCCCGCAATTAAAATTATTGAAACTAATCGAAAATTAAAATTGGAGTTGTGTAATTCTAATTTCTCATGGTGAAAGATTTCCGTGAGGTAAAAGGGCAAAAAAAAACGTGACTAAATGTGCTAAAAAGTGCAATTTTTCTTTTTTTCACACAATTCATTCAATTGCGAATATCTCGTAAACTAAAAGCGAGAGAAAGGAACAGATTGAAAAATAATAATCTACGAGAAGTTCTCTATGAGACAAAGTATTAAACTATTTCAAAATATGCTTTAGTAAAGAAAACAAGGTCGCAACAATTCATGACTAGTCACTACCTACGCGATTTGCAATTGACAAGATACCTGCGATCTAAAGTAAACTAGAATATGCTGCATGCAGCAAGTTGATGCGGCGTGAGAAGACGGCGTGCGGGACACATGCGATAAAAAGTTGTTTATATCGATTCGCTGATAACAGCACTGTATACAAAATTATTCTCGTGGCCACGTTTGTCGATAAATATAAAAAAATCGTCGTATAACTCGATTTTATAATTTTTAGTACATCCTAGTGCCATCTATGAATGCTACAGATAGTAATCCCGGAATTTATATTAATAAAATTAATATAACAATAAAATTCAAATCATGAAATTATTATTTTTTATGCTAAAAGATTGACCGATTTTAAATCAAATATTTAAGTATTAAATTTGAACATAATTATATTGCTATACTATTTAGGTTTGTGGGATCGGTGAGTGTGGGTTATAATTGATGCAAAGACACTTGGTTTGAATATCACGATGTAAGTTTATTAAGAAGTTGTGGTAATGCGTTTATTAATAAGTACTAGCTTCTGCATCAAATGAACTCGAAGAACTGACGAACACCTCTCGAGGTGTCCCTTTTATATCGGAAATTTTCACCATCTGGTCTTTGTGTTTATACGTTAGCTATTGTGAATAGGGCGAGACGTCGTCCAGACGGTCCCGGCAATTATTACCACTGAATAGGTATACCAATAAATATGTCAAAAAGAGCCTTGAGTTGAGCAATTCGTACCCAGACTACAAGGGGTTACTCTGTTTCGTTCAGACTAAATAAATGTAGACTAAACATCCTTGCCGGACCGAGCGTACCAACACAGTACCCCACAGTACCCCCTTACCGGAGAAAAAGTTATACGAGTTGCAAAAATTACGTAGCCTGCTATGGGCACAAAAAAAAAACAATACACAAAAAATTTGAACAATACAAAAAAAAATTACAAAATCTGACAACAGCAAAAAAAAATGTTTAACACATAAAAAAATCTAAACAATTAACATTAAAAAAAACTCATTACTTAAAACCTGCTTGAAATCGGTTTGGTACGCTGGTAGTCCTATTGGATCGCCTAACGCACTCTTTATTTAAATTAAACCGCACCTTCTTTGGTGGAACGATAGTCTTTGCACATGCCTTCTTTGTGTCACTCACTGGAGATTTACAATTGAACTGAGCTGGCGGTGCAATTACCGCGCTATCGTTGCTTCCTTGTGACACCACACTCGGCGGCGGCGTTTGAGTTGAAGATCCGCGTGGTTGCCATACTAGATGGCTACCGTCGTCGTCATCTTCATCCATCACTGGTGGTGGCATTTCTGGTTGCACCACAAATACCGGCTTCACCCGGTCAATTGAAACATTAACCTCTTTACCATTGATGCGCAATGTGAAGATTTTCGTACTGCGTCTTATGACCGGAAATGGTCCATCGTATGGTGGTTGTAGGCCAATCCTGACCGCATCGCGACGCACAAAAACCTGCTCGCAATCCTGCAGAGACTTGGGCAAGAATATCTTCTTTTCCCCATGTCGGGATGGTTCGGATGGTGACAGAACGCGGAATTGTTCCTTCAGATTCTTAATGAACTCGTTTCCGAAGTCCGGCGAACTGTCACTGCTGCCTATGAACTCGGCAGGCAGGCGTAAGGTTTGTCCGAAAACCATCTCCGCTGGTGTGGCTTGTATATCCTCCTTCCAAGCATTACGCAGTCCAAGCAGGATAATTGGCAGTGTTTTCGTCCATGCTGGGTTGCGATGGCACATCAGGGCTGCCTTCAATTGTCGGTGCATCCGCTCAACCATGCCATTAGCCTGTGGATGATAGGCGGTGGTTCGAAGATGCGTCGAACCCATCATGGCATTTAAACTCTTGAAGAGGAATGATTCAAACTGTCGACCTTGATCGGTCGCAATTCTCCCCGGGACTCCATGGCGGCAGATCCACTGCTCCAGCAACGCTCGAGCGACGGTGGATGCTTCCTGGTTCACTAGGGGTATTGCCTCAGGCCATCTAGTGGCTCTGTCAACGATGGTAAGGCAATATTTATGTCCTTCGGATGGAGGCAACACGATCAAGTCGATGTGAATATGATCGAATCTTCCTAGGGGCGTCGGAAACTTGCCAATGGGAGCAGATACGTGTCGAGACACCTTTGCTTGCTGACATTCTAGGCAAGCCTTAGCCCACTCCCGACAGTCACTCGTCACTCCTGGCCACACAAATCTCTCCGCTACTGCATGAGCTGTCGGCTTGGGTCCAAGATGTGCAATGTTATGGACCGAAGCAAAAGC